TCGTCCTATTTCACAGCTGAGGAAATTGAGGCCTTAAGAGGTTCAAGAACTAATCCAAAGTCATTCAGCTGGATACAGTTGGAACTGAGACATAAACCCAGCTCAGCTCTAAATTTTAATTTTTATGTTTTATTGATTTTAGTTTTACTAAAGGGTGCAAAGATAGAGAGAGAAAGTGGGAAATCACCTCCCACCCTGGTGGGGTGGCCACGATACAATCCCTTGTCCTTCATTCTCCTCTTGGGATTCCGGGCACACGCACACAACATGTTCTGGGTGTCTTTCAAGCTGCTGGGATCAGGACTTGAACTTCAGGGACCAGCAGTTAGCGTAATGGCTATGTTGCTGGACTCCCATGTAGTCGACCGTGGTTTGAGTCCCAGACCTGGTGGCTTAAACTCATGCTGGGCGTGTGTGCGTGCGTGCCCAAGATCCCGAGAGGAGAATGGAGGAGAAGGGATTGCAGCGTGGCCATCCCCCCAGGGGGGTGATTTCTCGCTTTCTGTCTCTCTGTCTCTCTCTATCTGGCGAGCGCATGCACCCTATAGCAAAAAAAAACTAAAAAAAAAAAAAAAAAAAGAAAAGAAAAAGGACTTGAACTTCAAAGTCGGCCATGTGGGATCTAGCTGCCTTAATCATCACACCATCGGCTGGCCTAAACTTAAATGTTACAGAAATCCATAAACAACTACTGCTTCCTTCCCAAAGTGAAAACATCCCTGCAGATTCTGGGGAAACGCTCAATCGTCCTATGGAGCAGTTCAAATCCTGGCAGCGTCTTTTCTTTCTCTGGTGCTGAGACCCTTAACTCCAGGTTGGAGAAGGCCAGATGGAGAGAGAAAATCAACCCCACACATCTCAGAGTTCTAGAGAATCCGGTGAAAGTCCTTTGGGCCAATCATACCCAAGCTGGTCTCTAAATCAGAGGTCTTGGCTTTAGTCTCAGCCCTGAGCCTCTCTGGACTTGAGGGATTTTCAGGGCTCTCAGCAGCAGGAGTAACTGAAAGGGGATTAGACTGTGTCCACGTGCCTGTGGTGCTCAAACTCTCCTTCCGTGTCTCAATGAATAATAAGCTCTTAGTCCTGACAGAGGCTTTAGAGATTATCCAGTCCAATCCCTTCCATTGATACACTCCACATTAACAGTCTTTAATGGCGCAGTCCTTAGGATATTTTCTCTTTGTTTCAGTAAAAGAGCATCTTACTACTAAACACTGATTTCAGAATATTGGCTGCAAAACAGAAAAGAATCTTACAGCTGTGATGCACGCACGGAGAATCTCCATCAGCCTAGGTCTTTTCTATTTCGATCCATCGACCGAGCCCCTTTTGTGGCAGAGGTATGGGAGTGGGTAGGGGTGCAGAGAGCAGACTTATGTGTTTCTCTAATGCCGAGAACAGACTGCTGCGACTGGCCGGCCCTTCTGCTTCCTGATCGGCACACCCCGCATCTCTGCCATGGCCGGGGCCAGCAGCCATCCATTTTGTCTGCCAGGCTCCTTGTTGAACTGATCCGCTGGCAGGCAGAGCTGAGCTGAGCCCTTTGCCTGCTGGCTGCTTATCTGGGACATATGATTTGTGGAAAAAGTCCTGCCAGAGGGGAGCCAAGACTTTCCTTCGCAGGGCCATTGCAGAGGAGGGGAGCAGCCCTGACACGCCCCCTGCTCTAGAATCTCATGCCCTTGCTCTTCATGGGGAGCAGCGACCATCTGTGCTCTGTGGCTACCATGGGGCAATAGACAGAGCATAGGAGGGGAACATCTGCAGCAGGTAGAAGAGGTCACTGTTCCTCTTCTGGTCCTTTTTGTGGGGAGCTGGCCAGGCCACTGCTCACCCTCTCCTACGGGATCCTTGGGCCACCTATGCAGCTCATCCTCGGGGTTCCACCCTTCTTTCCAGCCCTTTTAAGGAACCAAACCCCTGGTTTGGAGAGCCTGGTAGGTTCCCATAGCAATAGGCCTTTTAGATGTTTCCATGGCAACCAACACCCAGACCATTTAGTTGCTAGTCAACTGACAGCTGTAAGGGAGTCGAATTCAGTTCAGAATCCGAAGGATAGGCCAGGGGGAGCCTCTTCAGAGAAAAAGACACAACCACCCAAAGTGACTCAACTCCTCTGAAGACTTTTAGGCAACATCTCTGGCAATTCCGAGTCCCTTTCTACCTTGGAAGGCACAAACTCCCCTTCCAACCCAGCCATCCATTCCCAACACATAGATACTAACAACTCAAATAAGTACCCCAGGCTCTTAAATAAGGAACACCCCAACTTCTTAGACAGTTTGTTTATTATTTTTTTTATGAGAGAGAGGGGGGAGTATTTTATTTATTTTGAGAGATCTTTGCTATAGGGCACATGAGCCTGCTGGAGAGACAGAAAATGAAATCACCCTCCAGTGGGGACGGCCACACCACAATCCCTTCTCCTCTAGTCTCCTCTCTGGATGTTTTGGCACATACACACATGTGCCTGGCATGGGTTTCAAGCTGCTGGATCCAGGACTTGAACTGCAGTTGACCATGTGCGAGTCTAGTGTCTTAACTACTACACCACCTGCTGGTCCCTACGGGAGTATTTTTGACAGGGTCTCTACATCTTGATCCCTCTGTGCCACCTTTCCAGTTGACAAGGCCCATAGGTGCACGCCACCACATGGGGCCTGTTTAGGTTGGCAGGGAACTGAGTCTGGGTCTCTCATGGGGCCTCAGCCATTGTGCGGTGGCACCCTCCAATCTTACCACCGTGAGTGGGCCAGGAGCACCAACTTCTACTTCAGGTTCCATCGTCTTCCCAACTGGGAAGAAAGAACCTTTGCTTAACATGACCCTTGCCTTGGCAGCTCTTTCCCATAACTGGTCCCGCCGTGCCAGTGCTCTACCTGTGTGCCATGACCCTGTCCTCATGCCAACCCTGGCAGTATTATTTGCCTTTTGAGAAGAACTAATCCCAGATCATCTTCTCTTGGTTGATCTCACCTATTTCAAGCTGCCCCTGGGGGGTGTTCTTAGAATAGTCTGTCTTATCAACCTTTGCAAAGCATAATCAAGATCGCTCTGTTCTTTTTAAAAGAATCAACTAAGACTTCAAAACCAACCATGCAGGATTTGAAATTACCCCATGCTTTTTATTAGCACAAAGATTTGACTAAATACCAGGTCTTGCACTTAACCTTCCTCTAAACTGGGGATATTGTGTTAGGTTATTTTTATCTTGTAAATGGATGTGCCCCCCCCTCCCTTTTAAACAATTAGATTTATCTGCCCTGGAGTTTGTGTAAGGGAAGTCTGGGGTCTAAGCCTCTAAGGCTTGCTCAGTGAACTAGAAAAGTGTGAAACTATTGTTGGAAAGAACATGACCTTTTTGATATACCTAAGATTCAGTACTTCTCAATGTTTTAATGACTCAGGGGTGCACCTGGGAGCCGTCTGTGGAAGACGACCTTTCAGACTAATCCCCCCACGGGAGCCCTACCTACTCACGGCTGTGGGCTCCACATAGCCTGGCGGTGGCTGGTAAACAGCCACAAGCTGCTGTGTTTCCTTTCTGCTGTGATGGGAAGGAATATCCTAGCTGAACTGCCATCCCTCTTACACATGACAGGAAGTAAGCATGAAATGAAGGCTCATAGCTGTTACACTTGAGCTAAAGGACTGGAGGAATCTTTGGGGATGAGGGAGACAGCAGACACATGTGGGAGGGATGAGCTTCTCTGGGCTCCTTGGAAAGTTCCTGTGAATATAAGATAGCTGTCTCTCTCGGGAGATGGAGCATCACACATTGGACTGAACCTTATGATTCTCCTGCTATTTCTAGACAAAGAACAGTGTCTGTCTCCTAGAATAATGGCTAACACTTACAAAGTATACATCAAATGCCAGGAGGCATTCTTAGTGTTTTCCCTGCCTCATCTCCTCCTCAGGGCCCTACCATTATGCTTATTTAACAGATAAGGAAACAAGCAGAAAGATAGGAAGTGATTTAGAGATCACACTGGGGGTCTTTTTAACTGGTAGAGCCAGGACTCGATCACAGGCAGTCTGAAGCCAGAGACCACAGCAGTTAACCACCTTTGGAATTCACACAATCGTGATATACCTAGGGTCCAGCACTGGGAGACAAGGTGGGCTGTTCTTCCAGATTCAGTGTGACGGGGACATAGACCTTAGCTAAGCAGCAGTGACGGAATGGCTCCCTGTGTTAACTAGTCAAGCTTGGCTGTTAACTTTATTCCCAATCCATTGCTGTCCTCTGGTGGTTTTCCTGGGAAATTCACAGCCCGAAGAAACCCAAGGCTCTAGTTAAATTTACGGGATGAAAGGAACCAGAACCAGACCAAATAAATTATATGCTCATCAGCACTTTGTACAAACTCAACTAAGAAGAGTCCATTCCTTTTGTCCCAACCTAACAACACATGACCTTCCAAGGTCCACATTACTCAACTGTGAACGAGGCTGTAATCCTAAAAGCAGATCAATAGTATATTGATTCAAAAGAGACAGCAAAATATACGCTTCTTGATTATACCTGTACCCTTGGAGTGGAAACCTTCAAGATTTAATTCAGCCAGGCATTACTTGCTACAACTTCACATTTCATCTTTTAAGCTTCCAGGCTTTTGTCTTCACGACAGAGGATTCCCAAAAAATCACCATGCCTCATCCTAACCTGCAGCCCTGTTTTCCCCACTTTCCGACCTGCCCCTTTAGACTCAATTCCCTAACATTTCAAGTGTGGTTATTATTCAACTAGGGGATGCTGGCTCCCACAGCTTCTTCTAGCCATGCTTGGTTGTGTAAGATTGGGCAAAATAAGGCAAAACAAAGTCATTTTGTATAAAGTAGGTAAGGTGTAGCTGGGCAAAAAGTAGGAAACGTTTCTGAAAGAGTCGTATATATGCTCTCTGGGATTACAGAACTGGGTGGCTGTCTCCCACAGACCTGAGGGAATGTACTCTGTCTCAAAGAAGCAAATGACCACAGCCCAAATGCATAAGACAAAACTGACAAGTTTGTATTTATTCAAAGGTAGACTTCCAGGTACAGAAAGAGGCCACAAGTTAATGCTGTTAAGGAAAAAAAAAAAAAAATCAAACAGCTGTTAACCAAGTGCTACATTTAATGAAAACCACCTAAGACAGAAAAAGAGACATGAGACAAACCACAGAACCAGCCACCCAGAGCGGAATTTTATACTGTAGCACAGCCCCTCTCTCCAGGATTGTTGGGTACCACTGGAGGTGCTCTGGGAGTCAGCAGACCCGTTGGCAAGATGCACTGAGATACTCAGAGATGAGGAGCCTGCAGATCTAAGGTCCCAGCCAGATGGAAGTGGTTTGGAACCCATCTCCCACTGTGAGTGTCAATAACCCTTCAGCTCTTTGGTATCCCTAGACAACCTCCTTTAGATCCTATCCACTGGGCTCTCCTTATTCCAATGGGGGGGAAAGACAATGAAATCAAGCCCCTCGGTCTCTCTCTTCTTCCCTTTAACCTTTCCCCCAAGGATATAACAAAGGCGGCAGTTCTGAGCTCTCAGGAAATGGAGTGTTAGATGCTTTTGGAGGGTGAGAGGCATAAAATAGTCTTGAAATTCCTTTCATCGTATGGCACTGGTTCAGGTCCAATCTCTACTCCTCGTCCTCCCCTCCTTCCCCTGTGCCCTCTCACCCCCAGACAGACATATTGGCATCAAATAACTCTAGTCTTTGATCTCTATGGGGATCTCCCAGCAGAAGAGATTTTGGTTTTGGTCATCCTTAAGTTCCCACTTCACCACCAGTTTTACCTGGAGAAAGAGAACAAGAATTAGGAAAATGAAACTAGGACCTGACCTTAATCCATAAACGGCTTAACTATCTGCATTAGGTATACACTGTAACAAATTGCTTAATTCCTCATACTTTTCTTCTTAAATCATGCCACCATGAAGGCTGCTTAGAGCTGTCACAGACTGTGGCCTTAAACTTAGAAGAGCAAACCAAGTATACCTATGAATTAATGTTAGCAGCACCACAAACTATTTTAGTGAATTTACCAAATACAATCTCTAAAGCATTCTTTCCCTTCTTATACAAATGAAGCTTTATATAAGTAATAATTTTATATTTAAACAATTTATCATGTATTTGGCAATCTTATTCAACCTTTTTCAATTCTAAGTATTAATCAAAAAGAGGGGCCAGTAAGTGGTGTGGTAGCTAAAGCACTGGATTCCCACATAGCTGACCACGGTTCAAGTCCAGAACCTGGCGGCCAGCCAGGGCAGTGTGGTCAAGGCAGCTGGATCCCACATGGCCAACTGTGTAGTTCTAGCCTTTGACCTGGTGGCTTGAAAACCACACTGGGCCCGTGTATATGCATTCCCAAAATCCTGAGAGGAGAAGGGACTGCAGCATGGCCATCCCACCAGTGGGTGCGTTCTCATTCCCCTCACCCCTGTGTCTCTCTGGAGACCACACTCTCTCTCAATAGCAAAGAGTAAAAGTAAAAAAATTAGATTCTTAGGTATAAGCAAACGTTCTCTTTAGTTTGAAATGGAAATGTAAAAGCACAAGGATAATTATAAGAAGTTTATGGCTGTATCAAGTTTTAAGGACAACAGCCCTTTGTAACAACACAGTTTTGTTAACGTCTCTAGGCTATTTTCTATTAACATGCCTCACTAGAGATCTCTGCCCTAACCTCGTTCACTCACATTATGAGCTGTCCCTTCTAATTCTCACCAACTCACTGATATTTCTCAGGTCCTTCCTTATGTGGATAGTAGCCTGCTGTCAATGGTTACTATCTCTTTTTTGTACTCAAATGTTTCTCCACAATGCAACGTTTGAGTGACAATGATAACCAGCTTTTGGAAACTTGCTTTGCAAGTTTTTCAAGATTAGTATACATTAACTACTGCTTCACTTAGCACATAAACTAACACAGGGTTAGCTATTTTCAAATGAAGTAAACTCGCTTAACGGACAATAGCTACCATATAGTAAGTACCTGCTACCTACTATGCATCAGGCCCTGCCTAGACACCCTGCATATGTAACCAAGGTTCAGAAATGCCCACGATTATATGCACACTCTGAAAATTAATCTACAAACCTGTCCCTGACCTTTGGGGTCTCCCACATCCCTTAAGCACTCAGATTCCCTATATCTGAATCTCTTTAGGATGTTCTCTTATGAGTGTGGTCACATGCTACCCTTTCCCAATTTCTCCAGCCTGTCAGGACCTTGGGCACATGGGCACATGTACACATCACTGGCACATTACTCAAAGTGACAGGATCAGAGCTCCAACCAGTGGGCCACACGAGACGTAGCTCCCAAAACATAGCACTTACCCACTACAAGCTGGCTATAGAATTTAATTACTAGCCTTTTCTAAAAATAAATGCGCAGATTGCTTCTGGGTTCTACTTGATTTCCTTCTAGGAAATGTAGCTTTTCCTCATGGAAAAAAGTAACCCCTTTACTTTCTCCATTCTTACATCAAGATCCCTGCCTGTCTTCTCCTCAGAAGGTGCGTGGTAGGAAAAGAAACAGGTAAAGCAAGGCTGGGCCAGAGGTGAAGGGAGGGGTTGGAGGAGTGCAGGTAAGAAAGGAGAGTGAAAGAGCTACCTCTCTGCTATGGAGCTAATAGCCTACTTGTTCTCTTGTTACGAGATTAATAAAGAAACCAGGATTTCTCAGGAAAATGCTAAGACAACTTGGCTAAAATCTTTTAAGTTGCACAGGCTTTTGGGCTGGCCAATAGCCAAGTAGTGAAGGGAGCAAGATCTTACATGGCTGACTATGTGGTTCAAATGCTGGCTTGGTGGGTTGAAAAGTATACTAGGCACATGTGCATGTGTGCCCAAACCCTGACAGGATGGAGAAATGGAGAAGGGATTGCAGCATGACCACAACCACTGGGGGGCGCTTTCGCCCTCTTCCTGTCTGTCCGGCAATTAAAAAAAAAATGACACAGGCTCTGGGGTTATAAACCTAGAGTGTAATACTTCTTAGTGGGGTGGCCCCTGTACATTTTGTATAATAGCAGAGGCTCAAATTTCTTCTGTAAAATAGAGATACCATCACATCTACATTGGGTGGTCATGAGAATCAAGTGAAATACTGTATATAATATGGGCTCATTAGCTCCAGGCTAATCATTAGTCCATACTAAAAGAACAAAGGGACACAATGAAAATCATTTGTCCGACCCCACGATTCCCAACCCTTATATCTCCTTCTTTTCCTTAGGCTTCTTTGGCATAGAGATGAAGGGCCTTTTATAGCAGTCTTTGCATCCTGCCCTCTGCTCTCAGACTTCTAATCCAGCACCAAGGTCTCCCGTCCCCAATAACAGTGCCACTTACAGAGGGGTATTCACTCTTCACTGGTAGTTTATTCAGGTAGCTATAGGTCTTCGCTTTCTGGATGGGGCAGCTGATGCCACACTTACAGCCATCAGGCTCAGGGATGGGAAAAGGAACTGGAACGCCAAATAAGATGCCATGTACAGAGGCGGTGCTGTTCTTGGATTGAATATCTAAGAGAAAAAAAGAGAAGCAGATGGTGACGAAAACAGCCTATATCCAAACTCTAAGTAAAAATTCAGATCTGTTCTCGAGCAATCGCACTGCCACGAGAGCAAATCATCATGCTTGTCCCTCTTACTGCCTAGGGTTTATTTCTCTTTGTAGCTAGGCTGAGTACTTAGTGCAGAGCAAACGTTAACTCTAAAACTGGGAAAATGACTGAATTCTGGGAAAAGAGGCAATCAACAAGAATTGTGTTCTTTGCTTTCACCTTACCTAGCTATTCACTGCCTTCCATAGTTTCTCAGGAGAATCAGAGCTACTTGGATAAATAGCCTTATCTAACTAGGCAATTGGTTTTTGGCAGTAAACTTTCTGTTTGTTTATGTATTTATTTATTTGAGAGGTTTTTGCTATAGGGCATGTGTGCTCCCAGAGAGACAGAAAGTGAGAAATCACTCCCTGGGGGGGATGGCCACGCCACAATCTCTTCTCCTCCATTCTCCTCTCGGGATTTTGGGCACACATGTTCACACACCCGGCCTGAGTTTAAAACACTGGGACCGGGACTCAAACCATGGTTGATTACATGGGAGTTTAGCGACATAGTGATTACACCAACTGCTAGTCCCATTTGTTTATTAACAACAGTGGAAGAGGTAAACCTTTAGAAAGGTAAGATTAGAGAGATATTTTATTTATTTATTTATTTATTTAGAGAGGTTTTTCACTATAGGGCACATGTGCTCGCCAGACAGAGACAGACAGAGAGACAGAAAGTGAGAAATCGCCCCCCAGAGGGGATGGCCACGCCACAATCCCTTCTCCTCCATTTTCCTCTCGGGATCTTGGGCACGCACGCACACGTGTCCAGCGTGGGTTTTAAGTCACCGGGTCCGGGACGCGAACCGCAGTCGACTATGTGGGAGTCCAGTGACATAGCCATTACGCTAACTCCTGGTTCTCTAGAGAGATAGTTATTGATAAGCCCTATCCTCCACAAGCTGGGCAGAAGGAATAAAGGTATTATAAGAGTAGAGAGCCAGAATTATGAGCTGCTAGGGTATTCTGGAGATACAGAATATTGGCTCTTTCTTTTTGCCAGGGTTGGTGATGACTTTAGAAGGCATGTGTTTGGGCCAGGGTACAGATTAGAAGGAAAAATAGGGAGGAGCTTTCCTTAGGCTTAGGAATAAGAGATCACAGGAACCTTGAGGTTTCTTATTAGTCTGGTTCCATAGGATGGAAAATGAGAGAAGGAATCAAGGCAGATGCCCTGCCCAGAAATAAAGATATTACATTTGTCTAGATTATTGGGACTCTAAAGGTGATGAATGTGGCACAAGAAAGCATAAATCCCAATAATATTTCTTCAAGTTGAAGAAGAAAGTCCAGATTTCTTGATTATTTTCTGGGTCCCAATGAGTTCCCTAAACTTTAGGGAGGCTGTTAAGTATTAATTGTGCCTTTATTTCCAGGCAGGACATAGACTTAATGGCTGAAAGGTATATAGCTTGAAATAACATTTTGGAGGAGTTCCAAAGTTTACAGAGCTGGAATCTGTACTAATACTCTGCAGTCTGTAGCTAAACAGATTTGACATTCCTGTGAAAGCCTGCTGTGCAATATGGGCCTAGACAGGACAGAGAAAAGCCCAGCTGTCTTCTCTCATCTGTGGACACAAGGAAATCTCCCCATTTGCTTACAGGGAGTCTGGCAGCCATGGACTCAGGGAAATGGGCATATGGGAGCTCAGTAGGAGAAGAATGTCTTAAGGACATAGTGAATCCTAGCTTTGCACAAGTCAGAAGGGAGGTCATGGAATTCCTGACTGCCAACCTTCCAAACCCAACATCCCCCTGGCTCATTCCATTATTTGAGATCTTTGTTATACTTTCCATGAATTTGAGGTTAGAGACACTTTACGTACTGCTGGTGAAGGTGACATTAACACTGTAAGACTGTCCTTTGATCAGCTGGCAGGGCAGAGTGGAACATGGGCTTACATTCACTATCTTGATAACTCCATCTTTAGAACCTGTGAACAAACAAAAAATGAATTAGGATAGGAAGGAAAAGAAACCACCAAGGATGCCCGCTATTTAATGGGAAGGTGCTCTGCTCTCCCGGTTAAGATGAGCTGTTCTCCTTTGCTTTCCTGGGATGAAATCTTTAAGAAAACACCCAATTAAAAGGCATAATCTTGTCCCAGCTGTTGTGGCATGGATGTTACACCAGTGTCCTGTAAGGCTGAAAGCCATATGGTTGACTCTATGTTTGGATCCCCAGGTCATCCTGAAAACATGCGAGGGACATGCATGGGTGTCCAGAATGCTAAGGAGTTTGAGAGCTGGGTAAAGCGGGTTGCAGTGCAATGAGACCCTGTCAAGGGTACTTCTCACTCTTTCTCTCATGTCCACGTACACTATCATTAAAAAGAAAAGCCAGGATCTCCACTCGTCTTACTGCTAAAATCAGATTCCATAAAGCAGATGAAAAATAAGCTAGTAGGTTTCTTGACCAAGAAAGTTAGCATTCGTCAAACTAAAAAATATCCAGAGACCATGTCCCCAAAAGAGTAAAGAGATTAAACTATAACCAAAGAAACTCCAAATGTTCTTTGATTCTTATCTTGCATTATTAATGACAAGGTGTCATGGTTTAAAATTAACCTTGAAATATGTGCCTCAACCTTTCTTTTCTAACTTTCTTCTTTATTGATGATAGAGCACATGCATGAAAGAGAGAGAGAGAGGAGCACCTTCCATAGGTTCTGGTCACACCCTGATCCCCTTCCTCCAGCAGTCCAGCCTGCTGGATCTTGGACACTTGCACATGTCCCTGCATGTTTCAGGCGGACCAGGCTGGGGATTCGAACCAAGGCTGTTATGTGGGATCTAGCTTCTCTTGAGAAAAGCATTACTGCTTCCTCAAGAGAGAGTTGGCCCTCCAGCTTTCTTTTAATTAAGACAGTTCTTTCCTTTTTCATTTCCCAGCAAATAGATAAGCACATAAATTTGATGAAAGTTGTTCACACTTTAGGAAAAAATGCATTTTATGTAAAAATAGCTCAAAGGCAAACCTGGTGCCTGGAACTCCAAGGAGGAAGGTCAAAAATGAGTTACATCATCTCTTCACTCCAAGTTCTGTAAAAGGAAACACTGATCTAAGGAGTCTGTTATTGTGTGTTAGAAAGTTTGCCAGATCTTAGAATAGACACAATCTCTTTGGACTCTCTGGATCCAAGACTTTTAAGCTCCTGAATCATTTGGAAATTGTACCTTGAGTAGCAAGGGTGAAGGAAAGCTGAGGCATTTGAAGAAAAAGAAAAAAAAATCTCACAGCAATGGGTTTTGTCATTCTTGTTTTAGAGATTAGAAAACGGAAGAGCAGAAAGATTATTAGGACTTGTCCATGGTCACACTGCCTAGAAAGGACAGATCAAGAACCCAACAAGAGGGCCTAATTTGGAAGTCTTTGCCACTGAAACCTGAAGGAAGCTTTAAACATACAGCCATAGTGACAGATGGAAGGAGATCCCTAGGAAATTCTTGACTGGGAACTATTTGAGGACTCTAGGTAAAGTTCCCGACTCAAATTCAACCCAAAAAAGCCTTTTCCTAATTTCTTGGTTCAG